ATGCTGATTGAGTAGCAAACTGTCTTGCAGGCTTCTTACCTCCAAAGAGAGTTCAGACCTAATAGTCCCAAGAGTAAATTTCCTGGCCCATGCAGTTCCTTGCTTTTTTTTGTATTCATTCTGGCAAGTACTGCTAATGGGCCCCTTAATCTAGAATGGTGGCCAAATGAGATTCTACAAGTGGCCTATTGACTGTAGATGACCTCTGTGTTAACTTCCTTTGGAGCACCATTTTCAAGTAAGTTGGTAGTACAGTTGCATTTGCTGCCTCACTGAATAATTGGACATGCCGAAAAAGGGCTTCTGGTTAAGTCCAGCAATCCCATACAGTTGCTACATGTGGACCAGCAAACTAAACTGGACTATCACCTTGAGGGTTACGAGGTAAGACTTAATGGTGAAGAAACTCTGCCCTTACTCAGGTTTTAGCCCTCAAAAGCAGGAATTTAGCCTTTGAATTAGTCAGTGGTAATCTCTATTAGAATTCTAGTAACAAGAAACTTTACAGACTGAAGATGTTTTAATCACAGCCAGTGCTAACAAGTATAGAACTTAGTTGCAAGATACACAAGTACAAAATTATCAACCATACAAGAATACACTGAAATTAAACTAATCAGCTACTAGAAAATGCTTTTTGTATTTCTGTAGTACTGAAGCTTTGACTCTCAAGTGGCTGCATTAAGTTCAAGTTCATGAAGAAAACAGTGTATCAAAAAGGATAACTTCAAGGCTGTGAGTTGAATAACCCCATGTTGTCACCTGGCTCTACTCTAGGTCCTGCTGCACTTCATGTTTTTACATATGCCATAGGCATTTTGTTTGACATGGTTATAAAATGTCAGTCAAGCAATATGCCTGTGGCATATGTAAAAGCACGAGTAAACAGGCTTTTGATCTAATTTAGTATCAAGAAGTACCTCTCAAATCTAGTTGGGACAAATTCCTGACAACTGGTCTCCCACTAACTTGGTAGTCCCTTTTAAAACCTTAGAGGAGCTGTGGTTCACTTGAAGCCCAAGACTCTTCCTGAGAATAGCTATCCTAAAATACTATTTCAAATGCGGTTAGCTTGACAAACTGGTGTCAGACAGGAAGTTTGACTTAAGTCTCTATCATGCAAAATCCCCACTGTAGCCATAAAGAGCTTGATAAAGCAACTAGTGTAGCACATAATAAATTTAACAGAATAAATCATGGTTGTGCTTCTTTGGGGTCAGACAATAACTTCATCTGATGGTATTGACAATGATACTCTGGCCAAGGATCTAAAAGTGCTGCTAACCAGCATGCCTGTCTCAAATTATTTCAGTGAGTGCTAAACTCAAGCATTCTTCCAACATGCAGCTAGTCCCATGTTTATAAAGAAGTGGTTCTCAACCCGCGGCCCATGGGCCACTTGCAGCTGAATCAGCACACAGCTGCAGCCTATGTGACATCCTAAGGGCCATACAGGTAGTATTTATGTTGTGTGGATGCGGTCCACATAACACAGACTAGAGAGCTGCATATGGGGCCCTCAATGGTAAAGAAGTTGAGAACCACTGTTATAAAGCAAAACCTACATTATTGCTATGATAGGGACTCTAATGTGGTGTTCAAAAATCTCACTCCTAAACATGGTACAATGACATACTAACAATTCATTTCCCATCTTAAACTTTGTGCATAAGCATTATTAGATCAATAGGTTTTGATGTAATTGTATAATGTATAAAAAAAGCTGTTTTTTTGCAGACCTAGTTATAAGAATTGAATCTAGTAACAAAAAAGAAGCAAGCTTAAGGCTGACCTATAAGGGTAGTGGAAGAGCACTGTTAATGTTTTAACTCTATTCATACTGTTTCCACCACTTGGGTCTTTTATACTCCCAGGCCAGTCACTCTCTAAAACAGGAGCACTTTATTAAATTTGTCATAATCCAAAAAAAGCTTGCACATGCCCACTGCTGAAGTCTTACAGTAGCATGCCATTCTGCTGTGATCATATCTGCTCACCAGAGCTATCTTCAGCAGAACACCAATCCTTAAGGGATAGGGTACAAGAAAATATAGCTCAGGCATTCCACCCTAGTAAACAAGATTCACACTACAATACTCATCTTAACTCAGTGCCACTTCTACAGTAAGAAAGCAATTGCCAGTGGCCATAAGACTTGCTGAATATTTTAATACAGCACACAGTGGTCACAACTCTTGGATACTAATTCTTTCTTAGGTCCCCAAGAAGTTTGTGAAAATATCTTCCACTATAATACTGCTTGCCTCAAATATTGGTATACATGACTACAAAGTAGTCAAAATATCTATTTTATAAAGACAGACTAAAAATGTCCACTAGTTTTCCATTTCTGGGAAATGATAAATTGATCTTATCTGTGAACTCAGCTGCCCTAAAGGTTTAGGATAACATGATGCCGTAATCTTGGTCCACGCTACTGTATCTAATGGGGAAGGAGAAGGGAAACTCAACTTCGTAACTGGAATGTCCGATGCTTGCCTTAGACAAGACTTCAGTGTTTCTAGCAAATTTCTAAAGACCTGGGGCTTTACGAATGTAAAACCAAAACTAGCTATCATAAAATGTCTACCTACCTTATAG